ATGTGCAGATGTTTGTGTGTGGGTGTGGACATGTAAGTTCAGATGCTCACTAAGGCTAGAGGGGTTGGGTTTTCCTGAAGCTGGAGTCTCAGGCACTTAACAGCCTGATGTGAGTGGTAGGTACCAAACTGAAGTCCTGTGAGTGCAACCCATGCTTTAAATTGCTCAGCCACTCCAACAACTCCTCCTTTTGACATCTTCTTTAGTTTCCCTTACTTAGCTCTATTGAGTTTTCTGCTTCATTCTAGTAGCTCTTGCACAGATCATAAAAACCCGGAGACAGGAATTGGGGTTCAAGCTGAAGATCAGAAAAGCAAAATGGCCAGCCACTTGCTCTTACATCTACCTCAGACCGAAATGGGCAATCCTGCCTCCACTAATCCTCAGAATGAGACTAAGCCTGAGACGTGTCTCTTCCCATCTTATATTCCTCTCTAGTGATTAAAGGCGTGCACCACCACTGCCCGGCCTCAATGGCTGACTAGTGTGGCTGCTGGAATTAAAGGTGTGTGCCACCACTGCCTGGCCTGTGTGGCTAACTAGTGTGGCTGCCTTGCCCCGTGATCTTCAGGCAAGCTTTGTTTATTAAAACACAAATAACATACCACTATGATTAGCCTATGAGATATCTTTATATACCATCTACCAAAGATTGGATGATTCTTCTTGTACCATGCAGTTTTACTTTCCTCCTAGCTGTGTAGGTAATTGAAGCATCATTACCATACTATTAGTCCATAAATTTTGTATATTAATGGTATCCATAATTACTATGAATTTTGCTTGCCTTTATTCTCAGAACATTGAATAAAGCCTACATTGCAGCCACTGCACTACTCCTTTGGCTATGTATCATGCTCTACCCATGTGAACTCTAAGCACACACATGGATCTCACAAGTTTCATCTCAGCATTTCTGTTTCCATAGTAAACTATGTAAATAGTTTTAAATATGTCCGGTCTAAAAAATGTCCATTCTAAAGTATATCCTTATATTCTAGTGCCTTCTCTCCTAAACAAAATACAAATACTACTGCGGTGTTTGTTTTGAAACAGGATTATGCTCTAGCCAAATAAAACTTGAAGAACATTTCTAATACATAAACAAAGTCAAACTGCTGTGGTTTTATAATATGTTAGCGGACAGGGAAGTCGTATAGTCTTTTGTCTCATTTCTAGAAGTATTTCCATAAAACATTCCTTTCCCAATAGTTACCTGAACAAATGTCTATGAACTGGAGTGTTTTGGATTTTTGGTGGGTTATTTTTCTGATTATAACTCATTCTGTTTCACTTGTGTTTAAGGTGAATAAAAACAATGCAAAATTATGGAATAATGTGGGCCATGCTCTGGAAAATGAGAAAAACTTTGAGAGAGCCTTGAAATACTTCTTGCAGGCTACCCATGTCCAGCCAGGTAAACAGTGTTCGCTAATAAATTGCGGAGTAGCTTATTTTCTAAGGCTGTATTAAAATCGTAGTTGTTAGATGGCACTAATGTATACATTACGTGCAGTGGGAGACGTGCAGTTGATTAAGCTGAGTTCAAGGGAGTAGAAGAAGAATTATGAAGACAGCAAAGGAAAAGAAAATTAAAGGGTGTTGCAAATTCAGAGCTGTGGTGCTAGGCAAAAAGAAGGTGACAGAATGACAGCTTCATTTCTTGGAGAAACAAGGCAGATGTCCAGTGTATTCAGGGCAGTTGAGAAAAGAACTGATGCAGCTGAGTAAAGAGTGGGGGATAGCCTGAAATCGCCTTCTGTGTGCTTCTGTTTCCACCGTGAAAAGGTAAAATCACCAGTAGACAGGGAAGGAAAGGACTGTTTGAGATGTATGAAGGAGAGAATGCAAACTGGTCATGTAGATGGTGCTTCACACACTACAGTGTGCATTTAAATCTAGAGACCTTATTCTGGTGCGGATTTATATGTACCTGAAATTGTACATTTTGTAAAATTGTACAATTTTGTAATCCCATAATTTATCCACATGAAGCAGAGCCAGGCAGCTAGAAAAACATCAATTGCCAAACAGCATTAGCACCCTGCTTGAGATTAGTAATAACTGAAAATTAAATCTGTTGATGTAGTTAAATGGTTTTCTCCTCTTTCCAGCTAAGGTGATGATCTATCTTGTAGGCATGAATTACTCCGTTACTAAGGCTTAGAATTCTTTTCATTTTGCTTTACTAAGGAAGAAAGGCTAAGGGATTGATGTTTATAATCTAAATTGATTCTAAAGGGATGGGAGGAAAGTGACAAGATCAAACATACCTGAAGAAATGTTGGTATCTGAATAGCATATATTTGGAACCGCAGTAATTTTCAGAAGAGTGCTACTGAATTTCAAGTATGCAGAATTGTTTTACCATATGTTATATCCAACTACCAATACCACCAGATAGCATCATTCTATCCCAGTCTAAGATTCACAGAATGATCCTCACATATTAACCATGAATGGGGTCAGTGGTTGGCACTGCCTCATTTTTCTATGTTTGTAAAATTGTGTGCTTTGAACACAGAATGTATTTCTTTTCTCTTCCCTTCTGTCTTCTACCATAATGTAATTCTGTTATGTACACTACTTGTCTTTTATAACCTGTTTCCTATGGCCTCTTTTCCAAACATCTTCCCTTATAACTAAGCAAAAGCACTTAATTGTAGACCCCTTAATTTTCTTTCGTATATTTCCTGCAAGATACATACACACACTTATTTCTTGTCTTATATTTACTAATTTCGTTCTTAGTATGTTTGAAATACTGGTTTATTGAAGATAGGGAGCTTCCTTGTAGCAACATAAGCATCTAATTCATGTTTTACACTGGGATCATCTTATTGTCCTGTACACAAGCAAAATGCATTAAATGTAGTAAATCTAATTCAATTCTTTTTGAAGTCTTAGATTTTTATTCCAGAATTTTTATCTTCTTAAAAACTTCTTTGCTGCATTGCATGTTTGTGCACACGAGCTGTGGCAGTCACACAACAACCAGGAGAGTCAATTCTCTCCTTCAGTCTCGTGCAAGGGAAAGAATTCAGGGTGCCAGGCCTGCTGGGTGCCTTTACAAAATGCGCCATCTTGCCAGCTCAAGTTATCACTTTTCTATCAAACACTTAAGGTTGAAGCCTCCTCACTTTTGTCTTTCTCACTTCTGTGTTGGAGTAGTGATTTCTGTTTCATTATTTTTGTAACCACTAAATCAAGTGCGTGTGTGAGATTTTTTGAGTGGTGAGTTTTCTTATGTGAGTGGTGTACTGTATCACAGGATGTTGCAGGGGTAAGCACTCAGTATTAAGTAACTCCCCCTTCACTTTTCACTATTTCTATTGTAAGCTTACATCATATATATATCGAATATGTCTTCATCGACATGTTCTGAAGTAGGTTTAATAAGCCATAGGCTAGGATGATAGATGATCAACATCATTTTATACTTTCTTTTGGATAAGCTCATAGACTTGAAACACTGAATACAAACAACATTTATAATGTGTTTTTTGTCTTCTTCCTATGTGACTATAGTCACTTGGCAGGTAGAATAATGTTATTTTATGACATTACTAGATACTACCAAAAGTAACAGAATGACCAAGGCCAGGTAAAAGAGGCAATTGTTTGGTGGTTAAAAGCTTAGACTCTGAAACAAGCTATGGTACCATGGGCCAACAATGTCAGCACTTAGGAGACTGGGCAACAGAAAGATCAAGAACTTGAGGCTTTGAAGCCTAATAGGCCAGGAGAAGCCTCAGCCGATTAAGGCACTTGTGAAATATATATATATATTTACAAATGCAGATAGACTGAGCTACGTTTTAAAAAAAAAATGCTTAGAACCTGATATCAAATAGACCTTATATAAAAATGAGTTCAATCACAAAATCTACATACTAAATTTTGAAAAGTAATCAAGTCTCTTTTTGTATAGTATATGGTTAAATACTCATTTTCAAAACCTTAGGCCAGTGTCTAGCCCTTGATAATATTATAGGTAAATATAAGCTATATAAACAAATACATTGTTTTCAATGCAACTAGGAAATGAGAAGATAATTTAAAAGTGTGGGGTACAGTGACTATTCCTGCTTCCATTGCTGGATTGAATACTTGAATACAGAGAAACTTTTAGGTGACTTGATAATTGCGTTGAGCCTTTGGGTAGACAGTACTCGTAAGACAGCTTACAGCAGAAGAGGCTGCACACCTCATGAGAACCAGAGAGCAAAGAGAAGAACAGGAAAGGACCTAAGTTCAAATATTCCCTTCATGGCATACCTGCACTGACCTAATTTCTTCGACTAGTTATCTCTTAAATGTTCCACTACTTCTCAAGAGCACAAAGCCTGTATACATGACCTTTGATTCACAGTCCAGAACCAGTTTACGCCAGGTAGGAAGGCTAAAAGGAGAATAGGGTTCTGTGAGTTTAATTTTTAGGGGCCTCAGTTGCTTTGATTAGCCAACTCAAAATATACCAAAGATACACATTTATTGTAAGGTATAAAAGATATGTAAAAAATACATATAAATACACAACAAAAATATTTGTGAGTATTCATGTGTTTTTAAATACTTAGAATTTATAGATAAAATATAAAACATAAAAGTCATAGAAATTAGAATTAATAACTAGAGAATGGTTCTTGAGGAATTAAAATTCTTTGTAGGTATAAATCATTGAAGGTAATTTTGAGGAGTGCTGGCTGCCAAAAAAAACAAAAAACAATTCTTTAGAAATTTAAGTTTTCATGTTTTTATGTATTTGTATCCATAACACCATTGCCACCAAGATAATGGAAATATCCATCAGTCTCCCAAATCTTCCTATCCTTTTGTAATATTTTCTAACAAATAAAACAGAATTGATTTTAATTGTTATATATTTCTTTGTTTTTTCTCAAATTGTATATGGACAAAATCATCCTCTATAGACCTATTTTTTTCAGTATTTCTTGCAGTAATTATTTTGATACTCATCAATGTTCATAAATTTCATTAAAAAATATTTTTGTTTGGCTGAGTAACACTTCTTCATGTGGCTATTACGACTTTGTCCATTCATTTATATGTTCACAGATTGTTGGATTATTTGCACTTCAGGACAGAAGCAAAATTGTTAGGAACATCCAGTTCTCAAAACTTACTCCTGGCAGTTTTTATAGAGTACACTCAGTTGAAACATAATGAACATCACATAGCAAGATCTTAGGACTGTTGCTCTCCTCCTAGGGGAATGCCCAAGGTATATATGCTTGGCCCCTATGTGTCCTGGGAGTTGCACTCAGAAAACTACTGTTCCACAATTGCAAAATCATCGGTATTGCAGGCAAGTAGCAATCATAATTGAAACCGTGTCATGTCTGTTAGATATTGGTGTTGAGTAAAAGCTGTTTGATTGAAGGTCTCCCTTCCCTTCATCTTTATTCAAAACCTTTGAAATAATTATTAGGCTTATGTTGTTCTTAAACTATTGTGTAATTAGTCCTCATCTTTCTTGAAGATGCATATTTATACGCCCTCTAAATAAATTTACTATTCATTTTATTTTCCATATCAGAAAATGAGATAGAAATTTTTGACATTCTGGTATTAGCATAATATTATAAATTTTCTTTAATTCTCATGTATCATCATTTTAAAAAGAACAACCATAACATCTTTTATCAACCTACCAATCAAACATTCCACTCTGATCACATGCACAAAATTTTCTTTTAATTACAAGTTTTTTCATTTCTTAGCTGTAACTCTAACATGGTGCACATGTGTTAATTATAATTTAACCCATGTCCTAATTATAGGAATTACCAAGATCATTTTCACTGATAGAGTTGAGCTGTATTTTCTCAAAATTGTGAGATTAAGGAAATAAAAACGTTTGTGGTATGCTGTAGTAGAATGTAGTGGGGAAAGTTCCTTGTCTTTATCTCTCTTCCTTCACCCTCAAAGATGTGGTCGAAGTTTCCCGAGTTTCATGGGCTTTGTGTCCTTGCAGTGCTCTGAGTCATTGTGTAGTGTTCCATGAGTGCTGTCGGTTGGGAGTTCTACAGGTTGTTTCAGAACTTCAGAAAGAGCAGGGCTAGTCTGCTTGCCCATTCTCTTACTTGTTGCTGACGACCTACCTTCTCAACAGCTATAATGAAAACTGCCTAGTATATTTGTCAATAAATGCTTTGTTTTGTTTTGTTCTGTTTTAGATGATATTGGTGCCCACATGAATGTAGGAAGAACTTACAAAAATTTAAACAGAACTAGAGAAGCAGAAGAATCTTATATGTTGGCTAAATCACTAATGCCTCAAGTAAGTTACCTTATTTACTGCATCATGTCCATAGGACTAAGAATTACCTATTCTTTTTTTTTTTAAAGGTAAGGTTTTATATTCAACAACCGCACACCGTACACCGGGACCATTTTGGAGTCCTGGCCTCCAGCTGCTCTTCCCTGCTAGAGATTTTTACTTTCCTTCTGATTTGAGTTACTAAAGGCTGTGTCAAAGTTGCTTACCAGCTCTGCTTCACGAGCACGTGTTGCCTTGGCCTTGAGGATCAAAGGATAAGGTTTTCACCTGTTGGCCCACTTGACTGTTGGGTATATAAGCCTCCATGGTGCTATTGAATAAGGGGTTTCTTACCAGTAACTAGAAGTCTATCTCTCTGTCTTTGTGTGTCTTTATATGTTTTAACCTCCAGCCCCTTGCCTGAAGCTGGCGAACTGTATGGTAGCATAAAGAGCGCACACAGGCGTTGTGCGCTGCACATTACAATCAATGTTATCATTTAATTTAAGCATTGCTTGCATTTAATTTAATTTCTTTATGAAAGAATTACCTATTCTTAAGTACTTAATTCATTGATATTAAACTATAGTATATCTCTCAGCCTTCTGTTCCTCACTAGTCATAATTTCTTGCTCCATTAATTTTTTTAAATGCTTTGTATAGTTCACATGTAAATGCTGAGTCTTAGAACTTAAATATCTGATGCTGATTATAAATTGCTATAGTTGACCAAATGAAGAGAATTGTATTTGTGTACTCTAAACAGTGAGTTCAGAATTGCTCCTGTCGGAGACATTAAAACAAGTGGTGAAACAGCAGCTACTCGGGCTGGAGAGATGGCTCAGAGGTTAAAAGAACTGACTGCTGTTCCGGAGGTCCTGAGTTCAGTTCCCAGCAACCACATGATGGCTCACACCCATCTATAATGAGATCTGGTGCCCAGAACACTGTATACATAATCAATAAAAAAATTTAAAAAAAAAACAGCAGCTACTCCCATCTCCGCTGCTTTGTTGTGCTAACCAGTTGTTGCAGGTACGGGTGTAAGGTCATTGGATATATGGTACAAAAGATCCATATTTATATCGTGTATAATACTGGAATTTCAGTTAGAGTGTTTTACTTTTTTTTTGGCATCATGTAATCTTTTTATTTTTCTCAAGTCAACATGTAATAGAATTATGCTTCTCACACCCAAATAGCACTTTACCTTTTAACTTTACAAAACAAGTGAGGTTTTAGCATGACTCTGAAATAAAGCTAGCTGCCCTATTGTTGCAGCCAAGAAATAACTTTCTTGACAGCACTAGAGCTAACAGAGCTGGACGGAAATGAGTTTTATCTTGTGTTGGACAGTACGAGATCCTGACCTCTTAAAGCTCTGATTTATCTAACTTAATATAAGAGAAGTGTAAGCAGAAAGCCAGGAAAATTCATAGCTGGCACAAATGAAAACAACATAAGTCTTTCAGTGTCAAAAAATGTATTTATATTTTTAGGTACTTCTAAGTGCTTGCTTCTCTTTGGGTTTTTTTGTTGATGCTGTTGCTTTGTTTAGTTTTGTTTTTCATGGGCTCTCTGTGTAGACAAGCTGGCCTCTAACTCCCAGAAATCCATTTGCCCCTCTAGTGCTGGGATTAAAGGCATGTGCATCCATGCCCTGCTTTCTTTTTATATTTTTATGGTTTGTTTTATCAGCCCAACCTTAGGTTCTGTGTTATTTGAAGGGAGCCAGTAGGCGAACTTGTTATTTTTATTTGCAACTGTACTATCAAACATACAAACATGTTTTTCTCTTAAACAGATTATCCCTGGTAAAAAATATGCAGCCAGAATTGCCCCAAATCACCTAAATGTGTATATCAATCTGGCCAACCTCATCCGAGCAAATGAGTCCCGCCTGGAGGAGGCGGATCAGCTCTATCGACAGGCAATAAGCATGAGGCCGGACTTCAAGCAGGCTTACATTAGCAGGTATCATAGTTTACTTTAGCAGCACCACTGTAAAATTGAAGTTATATCTGTCTACATGTATGTTTCAACAAAATTACCAGTCAAACTTAAGTAGTTTGAAATTGACAAAGGAATCATTACACTAGCTAAAGGAGTTCTAGAATTAGCTACGTATTAGATCCATTTGTGTCTTGTAAACATTATCAGTCTCAATCAGTCTCTGTCACTGTCACCTTTACCACAAAGCAGACTTTTTGGTTGACAGTAAAGGAAAAAACTGATATCATGTTAATATTTTTGTATATTATCTTATAAATGTTATTACCTTTATACTTAAGAGACACTGTGTGTTAAACTTTGTTTTATATACTAACCATGAAGATCACCCTAATTTATATCATTGTTTCTCTGAGGAAAGTATATTCTGAATTTAACTTTTTGAGGTTAAAAGATTAAAATCAATTCCTAAACTGGAATTTTTTTTTTTCCATATCCAGCCCTCAGTTTATTCCATAAAGACCCTCAGTGATCTCTGCATAAAAATAACACCTTGGTCTCGTGCCCAGAAGTTGCTGTATTCATCTTAATGAAAATAACCTCACAAATTTTAAGCAAAATGACTTTTTTAAGTTCTCTAACTCAAAATGGAACCATACTAGAAAGACTATAGATAACCTGGCCAAGTCTCGTGTGTTCCTGAAAGTGACCTGCAGGTGGCATAAGTACTCTCCAAACCAACCATTTGGAAAATCTTTTTTTTTTTTTTGATTTTCGAGACAGGGTTTCTTCATAGCTTTTGGTTCCTGTCCTTGTAGAAGACCAGGCTGGCCTCGAACTCACAGAGATCCGCCTGCAGAAATTCTTTTTTTTTTTTTTTTAAATAGTCATTTAGAAGTGTACTTTGAAGGAGACTAAGTTAATATAATATACGAAGAGAGATTTCTAAGACTTAGATTTAAAGACCCCAAATTCCCAGTAACTGCCATATTTTTTCAGGTGTTTCAGTATCGTCTGATTGACTAATCTGCCACTGTAGCTAGCTGCTCTGTTGTTATGCAGTTAGTTGTCTCCCTTCTGTGATTCAGTTTTGAACACATTTTCTGTCACCCTGCCTTGATTACTTCTCTACAGTTGTCATCCAAAGTCAGATATGCACTTTTTTATATAGTATTAAAATATATGAGAGTTCAGATTTGAGACTAGTTTCACAGAATGATTTTTTAACAGAGACTTTTTAAGAGTATAAGGTAAAGAAAATAAAGCCATTGTGTGGGAAGGCTTAAATCTAGTCCAAAGTGGTATTTATGAAGTGGCCTAGTAAGACTGTAAGCAAACCTTATCTGTTTACTTACCACAGGGGAGAGCTGCTTTTAAAAATGAATAAACCTCTCAAAGCAAAAGAGGCATACCTTAAAGCGCTAGAGCTGGACAGAAACAACGCAGATCTCTGGTACAACTTGGCAATTGTTTATATTGAACTTAAAGAACCAAATGAAGCTCTGAAGAACTTTAATCGGGCTTTGGAACTAAATCCCAAGCATAAACTAGCATTATTCAATTCTGCTATTTTAATGCAGGAATCGGGTAAGTTTCCTGAAACTATGTCTATAGTTAGTCAATTAGAATATAGCAAAAGCCATAACAAACATTTTCAGAAAGGCAAATCATAATAAAGTTGTGTATGTACATCAGACAACTTATAGTGATATTGAAAATCCTTGACATAAAGTCCTTCCAAGTGACACAAACAGTGTATGTGACAGTATTTCTTGCTCATTTTTCTAGAGGGTGTTAAAACTTTTCATATACTCTAGCAACTAGCACCTAACTCGTGTACAATATTATTTTATTTATATAATCATAATAAAACTTCTTGTATAGTAAGTATACAGTCCAAATAGTGCAGCAGTTGTGAGGGGGGTGGTTTGTGACCATATTCGAGGATCCCAGGTCATTATCATATATTTAATCTCATGTTAGTTTACTCTGCCATTCAAGAAAGTTCTTTGTGTATCTTTATGTTAGTTAGAGTTTCTGTTGCTGTGAAGAGACATCATGACTACAGCAGCTTTTATAAAGGAAAACATTTAATTTGTGTGGCTTACAGTTTCAGAGGTTGAATCCATTATCATCATGGCAGGAAACACGGTGCAAGCAGGCAGGCGTGGTCCTAGAGAAGGAGCTGAGAGCTCTGCATCTTGAAGTAAACTGTGACACTGGGTGTAACTTAAACATAGGGATCTCAAAGCCCACTTCCTCCAACACAGTCACAATTACCCTAGCAAGGTCAAACTTCCTAATAGTGAGGTTCCCTTTAGGGGTCATTTTCTTTCAAACACAATTTTTATATATATTTAGTTTGTTTTTTGAATGTTATTGTAATTTCTTGTATTTCCTCTAATGTAGTAAACTAAGATCAATCACAATAGATCTGTCTTTGAACCATATTTTATCTAGGGATATTTTTCTTCATAAGATAGCATAAATGATTTATAATAACAATTTTTATGTTGAAAATCACTCCTTTATATATTCTATGTATGTGTTGAATGTATTTCTTTAAACTTTTGCAGAAGTAAAGAAACATAAAATTAGAACTTTTTGTAACTTAAATGGAGTTTGATGTCCCAATCTTCTATTTGGTAAGCTAGAGAATTAGGCCAGAAGGACTTAGTCAGTACTCGGAATTAATATAGCTAATAGACAGTAACTTGTCTAAGAGCTGATCCTATTGATCTATTTTCAGATTTTCTTTATTAATCATTCAGTCAGTTAAAACAATATAAGGAAGTCTTTATGTTTGATATTTAATAAGTACAAATTTGAAAACAAGTATTTTAGAATCTTAATAATTATGAAAGTCACTCATTATCCAACACAAGCTCTCATCTAAATGTATGAACATGAAGAACATTAAAAACTTATTTCAGTGTTTGTTTTTCAAAACCTCATAGTTTTATACTAAATAGTGTAATTTTACTATGAAACTTTCTAATTTTTTTTAGCTAACATACCAGGAATTCTGACTGGGATATTTATAGTTATTAAAACACTTGCTGATCTTTTATATAAGTTATATGTACATGTACATGTGTGTCCTATAATTTCATAGAAAATTCAGTAAATTAACCAAGAGAAATTAAAGAACTTGTTTGATGTATAAACTCAAAGTATTAGCAGAATTGTGCTTGAATACACATCTTTGGAAATCCTGTGTCTTAAACTCTCATCTATTCTTCCTCTCTAATGTTCTGTTAAATTCCAAACTAAGGAAATTTCTCCTCTTGGCTTCCAAAGTGCTGATTGACAAAGAAACAAACCTATCATTTGAGTGTTTCAAGCTCATTGTCTTTCCTATAAAGAAAGATGTATTGGATTTCTACTTTTTTATTTAGATACAGAAATAATTTGCTTTGTTGTTATATTTTGTAATAGCGTAACATAACAAAACACCTGAAAACGATTCACTCATTGATATTAAAAATAAAATGACTTTCAGGTGAAGTTAAACTGAGACCTGAAGCTAGAAAACGGCTCCTAAACTACATAAACGAAGAGCCACAAGATGCCAATGGCTATTTCAATTTGGGCATGCTTGCCATGGATGACAAAAAGGATTCTGAAGCTGAGATTTGGATGAAGAAAGCCATCAAATTACAACCTGACTTTAGAAGTGCTTTGTTTAACCTGGCTCTCCTGTATTCACAGACTGCTAAGGAGTTAAAGGCACTGCCAATTTTAGAAGAGCTGCTCAGGTATTACCCTGACCATACCAAGGGTCTCATTTTAAAAGGAGATATTCTAATGAATCAAAAGAAGGACATACCTGGAGCCAAAAAGTGTTTTGAAAAGATACTGGAAATGGATCCAAGCAACGTGCAAGGAAAGCACAACCTGTGTGTTGTGTACTTTGAAGAGAAGGACTTACTGAAAGCTGAAAGATGCCTGGTGGAAGCATTGGCATTAGCGCCTCATGAGGAGTATATTCAACGCCATTTGAGTATAGTCAGGGATAAAATTTCCTCTTCTGGTATTGTGGAGCAGCCAGTGTCCCCAGCAGATATGACTTCAGGTACAGAAGAAAAAGATGAAATCCTTTCTGAGAAAGTAAAAGAAATCAAAAGTGAACCCAATCCAGCACAACTCATAAAAACAAGTGATCATAAAAACTCGAAATCCAACAAGCAATCAACAGAAAGTGCAGACAAAGAGGCTCCCCATAAAACAACAAAAGACATCAAAGAAATTGAGAAGAAAAGAGTTGCTGCTTTGAAAAGGCTAGAAGAGATTGAACGCATTTTAAATGGAGAATAATGCTGTTCTCTATCAAAGACTTCCATTCTGTATCGTGTGTTTGCTAATACTGGAAACTGAAAAATAAGAATATATACTGTATAAGATCCTCCTTATAGGATCAAAACAAGATTTTCATTGAAGACCTATCTGCCCCAGGATATATGTTTTATAAGATATGGCACAGATTTGCTGACTATAGTAGAAATCTTAAATTCCAGGTGAAAAACTTGAAACTTTTACTATAGAAAGAAAAGGGCGTGGGATTTTTTTTTGAGATGGGGGATGGGCGTGGGCTGGCAGGTCCATCTACTAATCTGAATTGAAATAATATGGGATGTCAAAGATGAACCCTTGGAGATGAATCCAGTATATCCTGGATTTTGTGAATTCCCATTTATGAGCTCTCCTATAATTTTTTCTTTACCTCTTGGATCCAGGAATGGATTGATATTCGTTGAAGACGTTCCTTTTCCTTCAGTAGTTTTTCTCTTAACCCAAGGGACATTGTACTACAAGTGCATACTGTTTATGCGTTTTTTAATTGAGGTTTAGAAGGAATGGTGGATAAAACATCTTAAAATAAATCATGCATCACTCATATAACAGATAAATTGTGACATAATAGCTTAGGAATGCATTTACATAACTGCAGACTTGTCCTCAACCTCACTCTAAAATTAGGCAGGTAGTTTTAGCTGTATTCCTAGTGGTGCTCACTAACACTGTATTTTCTGTTTTACACAGAGTATTCTAACACTAACACTATATTTTCTGTTTTACACAGAGTATTCTAACATGAGCTACATAATCATGACTACTCATTGACTTTTGCTCCCCAAAGTGTTCTGTTTCTTGACATATTGTCATCCTGAAAAGTCCCAGTCATTCTAATTCTAAGTTTTAGAATAATTATAGTAATGTCTTTCACCTTAGACTCTCTGGTCTTAAATCAGTTTTCTGTTTCTCAAGTCACACCTTGATCATTCTTAGGTATCTAAGCCACTACAGTCAGTGTAACTGAACACAAAACAATGTGACATTTATTTTTAAACACTAACTTCTTAATTATCTTGTGGAATATATTTTTATTATTATTTATTTTAACTACTGATCTTTCATAATTTCCCTTAGTTAACTTTAGTTAAAAGTTCCCTTGAGTTAACTAATCTCTAATTATGTATGACTTAGAAACTATGCTTCTGTAATGTTGCTAAGAAATCTTTTATAAATAGGTCACAAGAAACATGTTCTGCATTAAAGACCCATTCCTTTTAGTTTCCCAGAGGATCTGACATAGTTTTTTTTTTTTTAAGATAATTTAATGCCAGCACTGATGCCAGTGGGTGTTAATTCTTGACCCAGGAGATTTTGTTAAACATCAAAGCAATATTTCAATGCTTAGAGTATAGCTGTGTGACTTCAGATATGAAGTGGAGAATACCTCATATACTTTCACTTGAAGTTGTTTTGCTCTATTATATCCCTAGAAAAAGGGTTTGCTTGTAAGCACTACAGTTAGAATTCCAGGTAAGCAGCTGCAGTAAGTTAAGGTAAAAGGAAATCTATGACAGCAGGCATAGTAAAAGTAGAGCTGTCTTAGTAAACTCACACAGCTGATTGAGTGGCAAAGATAAATATTAGTATTATCCAATCATTTTATAGAAAAATCCTTTTATTACCATTCATAATAATGTCCGTCACAAAGAAAATACTCTTACTTGAATTTTAATTTATTTAAATCACATCCATCTTGAGTAGCAATTATTAATTATTACCAATCAATGATGCTCAACCTCATTTCATAGTAGAATCCTATGGGAACTTTCCCACCCATCCCATAACAGTTAAATATAATTTCTAGGCAATTGAACCAGACTTCAGTTTTGCCAAACTTCTTCAGGTGATTCTGATTTGTACTTAGAGTGAAGTCTACTGGTCTAAATTAGTTCACGAAAGTCTCTATTTCTCCTGTGTTAACTTTGTAAATTAGTGTTGCAACCCAATTAAATTTTATTTAAACTATTCAGACAAGGAAAAGTAATGGATACCACCCACCCTCAGCTGCCTCAGAGCTGTCTTTTAGAAGTGGGAATCTGAACATTGTTCAGCTCAATCTACTGTCCCATGTTTTTAGCTCTAAGACATCTGAATCAGGAAAACAGGACTTATCACAGATTGTGTTCTGAGGAAAGGATGGAGTTTTCATTTTTGATGTTTTATAAATCTCCTGCGCAGAAGTTCTAGCAAAGCTTTGACAATCTTCAAGGAGCAGTGTCGTATCGCCTCCTTCACTGCTTCTCAGGAAGTAGAGTCAAATTCTGAATTGCTTCTATAGTTGTTTTTGTTTCCCTGTTAATTGAAATTGGGAATTTTCTAATTTTTCTAGTGAGTAGCCCCAACCTACCAACCTACCTACCAACCCTTCCTCTTTGAGGCTGGGCTTTATAATGTTGCCCAAATAGGTCTTGAACTCAGAGGCTCAAGTGATCCTGGCCCAACTACCTGTGAGACTGGGACCACAGGCATGCACATCCTTGCCCAGCCCCAGTGAGTGACTTTCTGAAGTCGATGACTTAGAGAATAAAGTAACTAAATATATCACTTTGTTTAACAGTTTTATGTTTACTGTTATGTAAGTATTTGGTATGTGAATTATGCAAGTCTAATAAAACCTTAAGCCTTTCTTTTACATCTGAGTTCTCAATTTCATGTTATAGAATGCTTCAAAGATGCTTTAATGAAAACTATTAAGAATATATAGATTTCTATGTCAATTTATACTTCAAAAATTCATATATTTGTCATATTTATTTTTTATATGCATGACCAAATGATATTTAAAATGAGCCCTCAAAATATCTGGTAACTATTAAAACTTATCACCCATTCATATTAAGGGTTCATTCAAAAGTAGTTTAAAATTGTATGCAATTTATATTACTATGCTGTTTGTGTGTAGCACATTTCTAAATATTCATTATTAAATTGTTAATTTTTAAAACTTTCAACCTGATTGCCTTTTGATGTTAAAAATGAAATGCAAAGTTTTTATATAACAGGTCTGCCTGCAGAAGGAAATGATTGAATTGACATGTAATTTGTTAGAAGTTACATTTGAAAATTATATATTATAAATTAATTCCTGATAATGATACACTCCTAACTATTGGTGACAGAAGCCAAAATAAAAAAATAAAAATGCTAAACTCAAACTTGGAATTTTATGTAAAGTTTATGTCTGCATCTGTCCAGGTTATCACCCTCACTGTAACATAGAGTAAGTTGTTTATCTTGTTTCCTCAGTCTTCTGGTATGCAAATTATTTCTTAAGGTTTTTTTTTTCTTCAAAGAGTGTCATTACTTATATTGCACAGAAAAATTTTAAGTGGTTGGGAAACAGATTTAGTTTTTACATTAAACACAAGTCTTACGCTCTATTGGGTAAATGCAGCTTGACTTATATACATGCCAGCATAAATATCAGTGATATCCTAACAGCAAACAAATGATTTAACGCTAATGCTTATGCAGAGATTACCTAAAGAAAATGACATGCTGGGGTAAATTTAAATTTAAATGAAAACTATGCTTAAAATAGCAATACTGTATTACCTTGCTCTTTAACAGATATCAGGGATAATTCAAAAAAAGTGTCATGACTATATGGAAACAAATTCTTTACACTTTATCAAAACCCTCTGTGTCTATAATGTAGCTATTTCCCATCAAAATGAGTTTATATTCTATAAGGGTTTGGTGCCTTTCTATTTCTGCTTGAATAAAGTAGATCTCAAAAATCATACTTTATCTTTTCTTAAAGACTTAAAGTAATCAGAACTCAGTAACCTTTGCCTTTATCTCTTCCATGCTCTTAGTTTGAGTTATCGAAGGAGTGACTAAACAAAACTAATTGTGAAAGAAGAGGTAGATTTTGCTAGCGATCTCAAAGGTCAAATGAGCTAATTCCCTTGTACATTATAGACAGCAAAGAACTATTTCAGTGGCCAGGAGTTTCTTTAGTTATTTTCTAACAAGTAAGAATTGTCTCAGAAAGTTTTCTGGCTACAACAAGCCCAGCTCTGACCATGGTGCAGATATTGATGCATTATGCCAGGCCGGATGGCTGACCTTGGGATAGAGTCCAAGTTTCAAGTCTCCAATCCATGAATCCAGTTGTCCACTGGACACCACTTCTGCACATCGTCACATACACACCCTCTTCCAAACCAATGGCTAGTGGGTAAATTTAAGAATGCTAAATCCAAGAATAAGGAATCTATACAATGTTAATGTGAGGCAGAAAGGGAGAGCGCTAGCCACTTTTTTTTTTTTCCCCACCAGGACAAATGCCTGAGGAAGAACAAGAAAGAAAGGATTGATCTTAGGATTTCACAAGTTTCAGCCAATCAAAGGAAAGGTAGGAATTCCTGAGCAAAACCATGGTGGCCAGGAAACAGTGGGAGAGGATGCTTAGACTTTATGGGTTCTTTCTTTCCCCGTTTTCATCAATCCAGTATGGTGTCACCCATATTCAAAGGACTCCATAATTATGTCCTTAATGTGTCTTCTCTGGAAATCTGTATGCTTTACTAATCTAACTTCTCAATCCAGTAAGTAAGATTAGCAATCATAGGGGGTTAGTCCAAAGAAAGTCCAAAGGAATAAGAAAGGTTGCTGCTGGTTTATTCAAAACATTGACAAAGTTTAAGATGTTAATCTGCTGGGATAAACATTAGGAGTCATGTAAAAAGCTAGTATTGCAAGAGAAAGTATCATTTTAATCCATCAGCAGGAAAAACTAGTAATGGAGAGAAGGGCAAACAAAAAAGATGACAGTAATGCAAAGATGTTAAGTAATGGCTAATGCAAAATTACAAAATAGGTAAATAAACCTAATTACTAGAGGTTTAATTTCTTCATTCTAACAATATTTACTCTTTAAGCAATTATTTGTTTAATTAAAATATAAAGGTCCATAGGTTTGCCTATAAAATACATTTGAGGAAATAAAGAGTTAAAGCAGCAATATGACCAAAAAAAAGGGAATGAAAAGCAAGCTACTGTAACAATTTTCATAACGATAAACTTCAAGGCAACGGTGGATGAGGGGGTAAGGAACCACGTATATTGGTTGAGTAACAAAAAGAAATATTCAACATCCTTAATCATCAGGGAAATGCAAATCCAAAATACTTTAAGATTTCGTCTTATACCTGTCAGGATGGCAAAAATCAATAAAACCAACCACAGCTCATGCTGGCCAGGTTGTGAAGGAAGGGGAACACTCATTTATTGCTGGTGAGAGTGCAAACTTCTACATTCACTATAGTAATCAATATGGTGGTTTCTCAGGAAGATGGGTATTGATCTACCTTAAGATTCAGTTAACCCACTCTTAGACATACACCCAAAGGATACGCCATCCCAAAACAGAGAGACTTGCTCATCCATGTTCATTACTTCTCTGTGAAAAGTAGCCAGAAATTGGAAACAACATGGATGCCTTTCAAGAGATGAATGGTTAGAGGAAGGACAGCACGTTTATACAACTGAGTGTTTCAGCCATGAGGAAATGAGGAAAACATGAAGTTCACAGGTAAACGGATGCGACTAGAAGAAAAATCACCTTTAGTGAGATCACTCAGATCCAGAAATACAAACATGGTATATATTTAATTGTATGTGGATATTAAAGATAACCAAGCTACAATTCAAAGAACCACAGAGTCTAGGTATAGAGTAAGAAATTAGGGGGGACAGCTACTCACTCTCTCATGCACACACACAGAGTCAACCACTCTGAAAATAGTGCCAAAAATACATAATTAGGAATGATAATATCTTTGATCCATGCATGACACTGAGAAATCTGGAATTGTACCAATAAGAGAATGAAATTGGGGCTGGGGGTGTAGTTTAATGACAGAGTACTCAACTAGCATGTATTCATTATTTATCACTGAGAAGAAAAAAAGAAAGTTTATTCATATTGGTTTGGGTATCAGGGTAATTGTAGCCTCATAAAAAGTTTGGCAATGTTCCTTCTGTTTCTATTGTGTGGAACAATTTGTGGAGTATTGGTATTAGTTCTTCAAAAATCTTGTAAACTTCTGAGCTGAAAATATCTGGACCTGGGATTTTTTTTTTTTTTTGGTTTGGAGACTTTTAATGACTTTTTCTATTTCTTTAGCAGTTATAGGTCTATTTAATTTGCTTACCTAATCTTGATTTAATTTTGGTTAGTAATATTTATCCAGAAAATTGTTCATTTCCTTTAAGTTTTCCAATTTTGTGAAGCACCGGTTTTTGAAACATGACCTAATGATTTTCTAGACTTGCTCTGTGTCTGTTGTTATATCCCCCTTTTCATTTCTGATTTTGTCAATTTGGATATTCTCTGTCTGCCTTTTGGTTAGTTTGGATACAGGTTTGTCTATTTTATTGATTTTCTCAACGAACCAACACTTTGTCCCATTGATTCTTTGTTTTTTTTTTCCAGCTTTCTTTTATTTATTTATTTATTCATTCATTCATTCATTAAAGATTTCTGTCTCTTCCCCACCACCACCACCCATTTCCCTCCCCTTCCCCCAATCAAGTCCCCCTCTCTTGTCAGCCCAAAGAGCAATCAGGGTTCCCTGCCCTGTGGGAAGTCCAAAGACCACCCACCTCCATCCAGGTCTAGTAAGGTGAGCATCCAAACTGCCTAGGCTCCCACAAAGCCAATACGTGCAGTAGGGTCAAAAACCCATTGCCATTGTTCTTGAGGTCTCAGTAGTCCTCCTTGTCCGCTATGTTCAGCGAGACCGGTTTTATGCCGGGCTTTTTTCAGACCCAGGCCAGCTGGCCTCGGTGAGTTCCTGATAGAACATCCCTATTGTCTCAGTGTGTGGGTGCCCCCCTCGCGGTCCTGAGTTCCTTGTTCGTGCTCTCTCTTCTTCTGCTCCTGATTTGGCCCTTGAGATTTCAGTCCGGTGCTCCAATGTGGGTCTCTGTCTCTGTCTCCTTTCATCACCTGATGAAGGTTAATATTCAGGAGTGGATGGAAATAGAAAACACTATCCTGAGTGAGGTAAGCCAGACCCAAAAAGAGGAACATGGGATGTACTCACTCATATTTGGTTTCTAGCCATAAATAAAGGGCATTGAGCCTATAATTCGTGATCTTAGAGAAGCTAAATAAGAAGGAGAACCCAAAGAAAAACCATTGATTCTTTGTATTGTTTTCTTTGTTTCTGTGTTGTTGATTTCATCTCTCAGTTTGACTACTTTCTGCAGTCTAGTCCTCCAGGGTGTTTTGGCTTCTTTTTCTTCTAGAGTTTTCAGGTGTTCTGTTAACTCACTAATGTGGGATTTTTCCAGCTTCTTTATGTAGGCATTTAGTGCTATGAACTCTCAATAGTGCTTGTTTTAAAACTTATTCTTACCACTTGATCCTAACCATATACTCAAATTACAAAAGAAAATGTGGTAAAATAAATGTATTGGTAACTCCATGACAAAAATTATCTATCACCTATCACCCTTTCATCTGTCTACGTGTATCATCAGTTATCATATATTTACTTATTTACATAAGCACACATACATAGATGTAGTCTTACACTGTAAAGTTGGAGTTAAGAACAGTTTGACAAGTCCTGAAAATGTTTTTCATCTTTCTTTTTGCTTCTAATTTTGAGCTTAAACAAATTTTATTTGAAATGGCTAGTGTGTTCACTTTTCCAAGGTTTCTTTGCAGGGTTTGAGGTCCTTTGAGACTCAAGCAGATAGCAAAACAAAATGCTGCACATTTTAGCCCTAGTCAAGGACTATTTGGTGGAAGCTTGCCTGGAATTCTGAAGATGATAGTGTCACGCACATTGCTTTTTGGTCTGTTGACTAAGATAAAGTGTAACACATGTGGTATGTGTGTGGGAAGGGGGGGGGTTGTAGTCAATATTGAATAAAGAAAGTAACAATTTATAATCACCCCATTTTTCTGTGACACTAAAAAGGTTGCCATGGCTGTCAGGTGTGATGATTCACAGCTGAAACCCTAGCACCCAGAAGGATGAGGCAAGAGAATTGTTGCAAGTTCAAGGCCAGTCATACTACACAAAGAGATCAGGTCACAGTAAGTCAAAAAAAAAAAAAAAATGAGGCTTGTCTTAGAACAACAGTAAAAGCTAATGTGATTTAAATTTTACTCCTTATTTTCCCCCAGCATACATCAAATCTTTAAACATTTACAGAAGAGCCCGTGGCTAAATGAGTATAGCACCAGGAGAGATGCCTTTGAATATGGAAGAAAGATAAAATAAGTCAGGAGTGGGCTGCTCTCAAAAAGGATCCTCAGAATCTAATTTTTCCTTTTTGTCTCAGGCATTATTCCTCTTCTGCTGAATCTTTTCAAACTATTTTTATAGCATATACTAAATAGAATTATTCATGTTACATAGAAAGTATATAGGCAAATGTATGTGCATGCTATAGCTATATATGCATCCTTTACAAAAACAACATGAAGTGTGAGTAATGGTACTTTAAGATGTAGAACTTTTCAGGAATACAAAATATTATGAATGGTAAGTTTTATTATTAATTATTATCACATGATAAAATACCATGTTCATGTGAAATAGGAGATAAAACATTTGAAAGAACAGCAATAAAAAATTTATACCTAAGAAATAAGAATTATAACATAGACTGGTGGTAGTGGTGCACACCTTTAATCCCTGCAATCGGGAGGCAGAGTCAGGTGGAAACCTTAACTAACAAATGACAGTTTATTTCTCGAGGAGTTATCTTGTGTCCT